ATTTTTGAGATGGGGACCTGGTGGACAAAGTGTGCCTATAGATTGGTCCCGCAGCAAACAAAGTGTGCCTGACCCGACGTCGTCTGTACCCTAGACCAGCCTCCACCTGGTGTGAATTTCCCCTGGAGCGGGCGGGCACACAGGGTGCAACACGAGGCCTCTGTGACACCCTGGTTCGGCTCAGGCTTGGTGTCAGCAAAGGGACCGGTGTGGCGTCTCGGGGCCAAAGCCTGAAGCTGTGGAGCCCCGAAGGCCACCGGCTTGTGCGATGACGGCGGCAGGCAGACATCACGGTGGAAGTCAGGTCGCAGCCTGCGCAGGGTGAGGGAGAGGGCCCACCGGGGCAGCGCGCACAGAATGTGCACCAGCACTCGTGGAGGGAAGGCAAAGGCCGCCTCCTGGGGCCGGCGCGGACGCACGGGCGGCGCGAGGCCTGCAGGTATTGCCAGGCGCATTCAAACTGCGGGCGGAGGGCACCAGAGGGTCAGGGCCGCTCGGGGTGGGAGGCGGCTAGGGGCAGGTGCCAAAACCCCCGGGCCCCCTTTCTCACCACAAAGGCAGACACTGCGGCTGGGAAGCCCTGCACCGTGAGGACCGTCTCCCTGGGGAGGAGAAGAGGGTGAGAGGTCTGTGAGTCCCGCCCCCACACCCAGTGGCAAGCCGAATGCCCGCCCCGCCCACAGAGGTTCGTCCCCCTTGCACGACCTCAGGCCCCGCCTCCAGTGTTCTAAGTACTTGAACTCAGTTTCTTGCCCTTCTAGGCTCTTTTCCAACTCCCGCTTGCTCCCCAATTCCTCTGTTGCCGGACCCCCGTCTTGATCATCAGGTCCCTCCCTGTGATGAAGAGGCCTACCATATCAAACTCTCTGTGGCTCTAAAATGACAGCTAAGGAGTACTCGACATGCTGTCTGTGATTCTAGAAGAGCTCTTAGGAAATGAACACCACTCCCTAGAAACTACAGAAAATAGAAATCGCTTATTTATCACCTCTTACTAGGCCAGTTTTTATGAAATGGATTGTTTAAGGTTAAGTTTAGAAATTTTCTTTGTAATTAAGGCTCAACGTAAAACTATTTGAATAGCCTGGCTCAGTGGCTCACGCCTGCAATCCCAGCAATTTGGGAAGCTGAGGTGAGAGGACTGTCTGAGTCCAGGGGTTCAAGACCAGTCTGGAAAACTCGGAGAGACCTCGTCTCTACACTACATCAAAAATTTAGCTGGGCACGGTGGCACACGCCCATAGTTCCAGCTACCTAGAAGACTGAGGTGGCGGGATCACCTGAGACTAGTGAGTGGAGGCTGCGGTGGCTGTGAGCGTGCCACTGCACTCCAGCCTGGTCGACAGAGTAAGATTCCTACTCAAAAACTAAAAATTTTAAAAAGAACTGCTTGAGTACATATTTGGCTTCTTACCGCCTTCACTACCCTTGGATCTAGTAACTGTGTGGGTTCTGAAATAACACAGTCATTTGCATTCAGCCCCGATAAGCAGAAAGTGCAAAGAAAAACTGCACGTCACTAAAAGCTTCCAGGGGAACTAGATAAGAAACGAGTTCTGCTGAAACATCCTGAAACCCAGAAAATGTATCTCCTCCCTTAGTCTCCACATGACAAGTGCTTTCTTTCATGCTTTTGAATCAAATGTGTATACAATGTTCATTATTAAGTCTTGTGACCCAAAAACTCCTGGTGTAAGCAAAGAACTGTAACCAATTGGAAAGCACGGGGTTCCCAATTGTCAAAAAGCCATTGTAAATTGAAAGAGTGACAGAGCCGGGCTCGGTGGCTCAGCTTGTAATCCCGCGCCTTTGGGAGGCTGAGGTGAGTGGACTGCCTGAGCCTGCGGGTCCGAGACCCGCCTGGGCAGCGAGACCTCATCTCTACAGTTAATCCAAAAATCAGCTGGGCGTGGTAGCACATGCCTGTAATTCCGGCTACTTGGAAGGCTGAGGTGGAAGGATCACCGGAGCCCAGCAGGTCGAGG